CATGAATGGGTTGAGAGGGATATGGGCCAAATGCCGGCAAATGGGGCTAGGTCAGATTGGGATGTCTGGTCGGTGCGGATGAGTTGGACGGAAGGGTCTGTTTCCGTGTTGTATAACTCTATGACTCTCACTTATTTGGGTTGAATTCTATTTGCCGCTGATCAGCCCGTCTGACCAGCCTGTCCATATCCCTGTGTAATCTATGGCTATCTTCTTCATTATTTGTCACCATACCGACCTTCCTATCATCTACGAACTTATTGATCAACCATCCGACATTCAAATCAAAATCATTTAACATATAACACAAACAGCAAGGGCCCCAATACAGATTCCTGTGGAACCCCACTGGACATAATCTTCCAGTCACAAAAGTACCTCTCAATCGCTACTTTTTCCTTCCTGCCATTCACTAATTCTGGATCCAGTTAACTAAATTTGCTTGGATCCCACAGGCTCTTACCATTGCTATCAGTCTCCCATGTGGGACCTTTTCAAAAGCTTTGCTGAATTCCAAGAGACTACCTCAAATGCATTTCCCTCATCTCCACACTTGGTTATCTCTTCAGAACAAAAATCAATCATATTGGTCAGACGTGACCTCTCCTTAAAACTTTGCTAACTGTTATTAATTAATCCCTGCCTTTCCAAGTACAGTTTAATTCTGTCCTCCAGAATTGCTTCCAATTGTTTCCTCACCGAGGTTAGACTAACTGGCTTGTAATTTACTGGTTTATACCCTGCTCTCTCCTTGAATAATGGTACCACACTGGCTGTCCTCCAGTTATCTGGCACCTCTCCTGTGGCCAGAGAGGAATTGAAAACTTTTGCCAGCGCCATTGCTATTTCCTCCTTTGCCTTTCTCAACAGCCTGTGATACATTTCATCTGGCACTGGAGATTTATCTACCTTTAAGCCGCCAAACCACTCAAGATCTCCTCAGTCAATGTTAATTGTTTTAAAATTGTTTCACAGTCTTTCTCCTTGATTTCTATGCCCACATCATCCCTCTCACTAGTGAATACTGTGAAAGATAGAACCCTATCTTTGTCCTCTGGCTCCATATGCAGATTACCACTGTGGTCTTTAGTGGTCTTGGTTATACTTTTACCCTTAATGTACTTGTAAAATAACAGGATTTCCTTCAGATTCCCTGCTATTATTCTTTCATGCCCCCTTTTTGCTCACCCAATTTCCTTTCTAAGTTGTCCCTTGCACATTCTATACTCCCACTGGACCTCTGCTGTTTTGTATCTGCCATAAGCCTCCCTTTGAGGCTGAAATGAAAATCAACCATAATGTTAGATAACAAGGTGTAGAGCTGGATGAACACAGCAGGCCGAGCAGCATCAGAGGAGCAGGAAGGCTGACGTTTCAGGCCTAGACCCTTCTTCAGAAATGGGGGAGGGGAAGGGGGTTCTGAAATAAATAGGGAGAGATGGGGAGGCGGATAGAAGATGGATAGAGGAGAAGATAGGTGGAGAGGAGACAGACAGGTCAAAGAGGCGGGGATGGAGCCAGTAAAGGTGAGTGTAGTTGGGGAGTTAGGGAGGAGATAGGTCAGTCCAGGGAGGACGGACAGATCAAGAGGGCGGGATGAGACTAGTAGGTAGGAGATGGGGGTGGGGCTTGAGGTGGGAGGAAGGACAGGTTAGGGAGGCAGGGACGAGCTGGGCTGGTTTTGGGATGCGGTAGGGGGAGGGGAGATTTTGAAGCTTGTGAAGCCCACATTGATACCATTGGGCTGCAGGGTTTCCAAGCGGAATAGGAGTTGCTGTTCCTGCAAATTTCGGGTGGCATCATTGTGGCACTGCAGGAGGCCCAGGATGGACATGTCGTCTGCGGAATGGGAGGGGGAGATGAAATGGTTCGCGACTGGGAGGTGCAGTTGTTTAGTGCGAACCAAGCGTAGGTGTTCCGCAAAGCAGTCCCCAAGCCTCTGCTTGGTTTCCCCAATGTAGAGGAGGCCACAACAGGAACAGCGGAAACAGTATACCACATTAGCAGATGTGCAGGTGAACATCTGCTTGATGTGGAAAGTCTTCTTGGGGCCTGGGATGGTCGACCACCAAACCATCATCTCCCAAACCATCCACAACCACATCACCTCAGGTGACCTCCCACCCACAGCCTCCAACCTCATTGTTCCCCAACCCCGCACCACCCGCTTCTATCTCCTTCCCAAAATCCACAAAACTGACTGCCCTGGTCGACCCATTGTTTCCGCCTGCTCCTGCCCCACCGAACTTATCTCCACCTATCTCGACTCCATTTTCTCCCCCTTGGTCCAGGAACTCCCTACCTACGTCCATGACACCACCCACGCCCTCCACCTCCTCTAAAACTTCCAATTCCCCGGTCCCCAACACCTCATCTTTACCACGGACGTCCAGTCCCTATACACCTGCATTCCCCATACAGATGACCTAAAGGCCCTCCGCTTCTTCCTGTCCCGCACGCCCGACCAGTCCCCCTCCACTGACACCCTCATCCGCTTAGCCAAACTCATCCTTTCCCTCAACTTCTCTTTCAATTCCTCCCACTTCCTACAGACAAAGGGGGTGGCCATGGGTACCTGCATAGGCTCAAGCTATGCCTGCCTCTTTGTAGATTACATGAAACAATCCCTCTTCCGTACCTACACTGGCCCTAAACCCCACCTCTTCCTCCGTTACATTGATGACTGTATCGGCGCCGCCTTGTGCTCCCACGAGGAGCTCGAACAATTCATCCACTTCACCAATACCTTCCACCCCAACCTTAAGTTCACCTGGGCCATTTCTAATAGCTCTCTCTCCTTCCTGGACCTCTCTGTTTCCATCTCTGGCAACCACCTGGAAACCG